TTCACCCCGGAGCCCCTGACAGATGTGGATGAGCATTGGGTCGAGGTAACCGAAGATTCCGAATTGATGTGCGATGTGTGCAAAGGATTTCATCAAAATGATTCGAGATTGAATACCTGCACTGAGAACCGCACAAGATGTCTGAATTGCGCAAGCAACTGGACAAGAGCGGCAATCTACGGAACTGAAGACATTGGGATGGATGAATTTTCACAGGATGCAAGAGTAGCTGCAAGATTGCTCAACATCTACAATGAGTGCGTTGACTGGAGAGAAATGGAAGCCGAAAAGGACCTCCGTGGATTCTTGGTCACTGCGACACTTGCAATGCTATCAGGATACAGGACGACAAGCGATGTACTCAAACAGGTATCACATCGAGGTGCCATCCGCATGCCTGCATACATGGTGAAAGGAAAATGCAGACGAGACCTGTTGCCCCAATTCAATGTGCAACGTGAAACACGAACAGAGGATTGCGGAGGTGGATCACACCGAATTCGATGGTTTTACAGACTGCTTTGGGATGGTGGAAACGTCGCCTATCATGACTACATGAAGACCGTGTTGACCAAGGAGGAGATCGCATCCATGCTCAATCCAACCGCAACAGCTGAGTATGTCGGCGACATTTTCGAATTCTGGCTTGGGATGCTTGACCTGGGTATTCAATTCCCTACTATGTTTGGTGGATGGGGGGCAAACCTTGACAGTTGCCTCGCAGGACTGGAAGAGTCATTCTGGCTATTCAGCAGTTCATGTCGACCTACCGACACCATCAACACGAAGCGAAACCGATCCAGGAAAGCATACATCCCACCGGTCGAGAACGACATGGTGACAACAGTCTTGAAAGAAGCGGGAATCTTCGACCTACTCCTGCAGAAGAAGATCACCAGAATGCCGGTGCTCCCGGAAGCCAACTACGATGACCACCCTGAAATGATTGAGGTCTCATCAAGCGATGAGGAGGAGGACGAAGTTGGCGAGCCTGAAGAGGAGACCACGACGCCTACGGCGCGGGGCCCTCGAGCAGAACAGACTTCAGGAGAAACTGATGCCGGAGCTGGTGACATCGAAATTGAGGAGGAAGAAGAGGACATGGGGGGCCAACCTTCGGAAGCGAAGAAGCGCCGAACTGAGGTGCGGAACATCCGTGATCAATTTGAGAAGCTGATTGCCGACGCATCGAGTGTTCAGTATTGTTTCATTTGTGGTGGAATGCATGACATTGATGAATGTACCACACCAGATGACGAGAACATGAAGGACACCCTATGGCGCATCAATGGAGAAGAATATCTTGGATATGGATGGAGTAATGTGCATCGATATGGCGAGAATGAGTGGATGGGCAACAAGTGGGAAAATCCGCAATGGATAGTCGAATTGTCGAAAAGATTCAATGCAGCGCTACGCCACTCCGTGGGTTGCGTCAAGGACAATCGAAATCACCGTGGACTACCATGCGATGAAGCAGGTTGGGTCAATGTCGAGTCGATCTTGAAGTACGACAACATTTGGAGAGACCAACATACATTGGCTGGAACGGCCCGCGTCAACTACCCAGTACTTGTTGAGAGGTGGAACAATTTCCAGAGAGTGATCTTCACTGAGTACAAGCAAACGAAAAGAATCCGAGCTCAAGTGCTAGGACTCAAGGTCACAAAAGGTGAATTGGAATACGTCATGAACAACTTCAATGATGGATTGACCTCGAGACTTGAACGACACACACTGAGGTTGGAGATCGGCACAGCAGATCGAGAGATTTGGCTTTGGCCGGTGGCAATCCGTGCCCCTATGGCACATTCAAGAGTTCAAGGCGGTGTGCACATCGAAGACAAGAAGACTTCCTATCAGATGAACCCTGGAGTCGGATACACTCTTGGAGGAGGATTTCACTGCACCACTTTTGACAACATCGCTCAAATCTTCAGAGAAGGACTATGTCCCGGAGGAGGAGGCGACCGCATCAATACGTTCTTCGTGCCATTCGCACCGTGGGACGTGCGAAGTCAGACGGTGCTGAGATTCAGGAAGATTGAACAAACTGATCTTGTCTACATCTACATCACGTACGATTCCATCGCCAAGTTCTCCCCTCGATTATCAGCAGACGGACACATTTTGGTCCAAGAAACAATTCCATTCGAATCATTCGATGCAGTTTGGTACTATGATTGGAAGGAAAAGGACTACTACCGTCTCATGATCACAAAGGGAAAAGATCAACTTGTACTTTCGGTACAAGGAGCAAGGAGGGTGGCCACCATTGAACGATTTGACAAACTCATTGGGAACATTGTGCCTGATGAATCATCACCCGATCTGAACGAACTTCGAAAGCTTGTCGATCTCAAGACCGGTCACTTCAGTCATGCTCACAGATTGTTCCCTGGACATCCGGATTGGAATGATGCAATATCATTGTTAGCAGTCACTCATCATCCAAGCAAGGAGGACCATCGACTATGCCCCGCATGTCTGATGGAGACCCCTGCACCACTATCGATTTGTGTGACGTGCAAAGGATTTTTGGTCAGTCATGGATGGAGGAAACGAATCAAGATCACCGTGGCTACTGTACCAAGTGCCGAATCACGTCCTCGAGAAGAAGATCTCAAAGACCATGTCAAGAAAGCATGGGAAGAAGTGAAGATCGATTTGACAGGTGAAGATGATGACGACGAGCTGATGCAAGATGATGATGACGTCACCATGAAGAGTCCAGAACAAGAACCTCAACCAGAAGAAGAAAATGATGATCAAGCCTCGAAGAAGGGCGACATCAATGACGAGAGAAGAGACTTCAGAGAGCAAGATGAGGTCGACAAATTTCTCAATGAGGAAGGAAAACAGACCGATGAGAATGACGATGAAGAGATAGAGGTCGATGAAATCAACATCGAGGAGTACGAGGCTGGAGAAGCTCATGATGCAGTGATTGAGTACCCCAAGTGGATGAAGAGGATTGAGTTTGGATCAAAGGTCCTGCCAATCGAGCCTTGCACAATTGGAGATGCTCAGCCGGAGCTCATCAAAATCCTCCTGTTACAGATTGGGTTACATATCGTCAGGATCTACAGACTATTCCAACGGAACTTCTGTGGAGACATCGAGACGGCATGGAAACACTTTCAACAGAACCGGAAATTCAGGATGGACTTGGATTCAAGAGTGCCATACCTAGGTGAGGATGAAAATGGTGAACTCATCGAACCAACTGCACAACAGATGAAAGAGCTCTACCAGGAGATCGGCCGACCACAACAAAGGGACGACATCGGGGAAGAGGGATTCGTCAATGCATACTATGGGGCAGTGGTACTTAAGCGACTTCTCGTATACACCCTTGAATGCGGTTACACATATGAAGACCTGCAAAATATCTTCTTCGATGAAGAGATGGAGAAACTGTCGAAACGTGACTCAACAAGGGATGAGATGAGAAAGACCACAGCCGCCCGCGAAGCCCTTGACCGACAAGATGTCCTGGTCAGAAGAATCATTGCAGGTGCATACAGAGTGAATGCTGTTTATTTCTTCAGGAACGTCGACTTTCAAGACACGATCACACTGAACCCAGTTGACATTGTGTGTGCTCTTCGACCTCCACTTCGAAGAATTTCAGTTTTGCATCTGATCCTTCAAAATGGCCGGCAATTGCCACGACCTCTACTCCAGAAGCTGTATGATGCAATCAATGACTACAACCACATCAAGCAACGGGATGATCAACGACCAAGATGGGGCATCCACATGACAGAAGCCCACCTGGTTGCGATTGCTGATACCCCGGTTCCTGCCGATCGTGAACGTGCTAACCCGGCCGCTGGCAAATCGAAAGCAGCCCCGAAGGCAGCACCAGCACTGGGCAGAGTGTCAAAAGCGAAAGCATCATCATCAGCAACATGGAGAACCGTCGAAGCCGCTCCTCCGCCAAAACAAGCTCCAGTAACCCCGCCACAGAAGGGTGGAAAAGACCAAGGAAAAGGTGGAAGATCTTATTCACACCGTGGTGGAGACTGGAACCAACATGGATACTATGGATGGGGATATAGATGATAAATCGATATGACCTCTGCATAGGTCCTGATTGAATCTGGCGAAGCGAGGATGCAATCATTGCTCGAGACTTACCTCTACTTCATTTCGAATGATTTCTGAGAGGACTCTGAGCCGGCTAATTTAGAACCACATTTTTTTTTTGAACATCATTGCACGAGACGCTGAGTTTCTACAGCGGTCTACATCTCAACCGACGAAGGAACGGGAAGGTAAACTTCTAGTTCCATAGTCATCTTTGTGTTTCGATTTTAATTCGCATGCTTGAGTGGGATTCCATGCTGGCTACGCCACATCGGATGAACCTCAATGCTGTACACCGACTACGTCGTGTCAGCACGCACGTGAACAGAACCCTTTTTTTTGTTTGGTAGAGATCGTAGCAAGCCGCCATGTAGATATGAAGTTCTGAACGGACTTTAGCTCTCCATAATTCAATAAATGAACAGCTGCAGATGTAGTGGATCGATTTAAGGGACACTCCTTTGCGCGTGGCCAACAAAGTTGGCCATGCGTGGGGGGTGCGAATGGGATGTAGGCTACGGCATGATGTATATTCCCAATGTAAATAACCTTCAATCGTCCACAGCCAAGGGTCGCATACACTTGCCACCTTTGGCTCAAGATGCTGCCAGCTCCACGTAAAAAGGATGCAATGCCGAAACCGTTGTTCGTTCGTCATCACTGGTGAGGGAAATCAACAGCCTTCTATAACAGCCAAGAACATATAACCGGGGAGATAACCTCCGATTCACACACACATACATACATACATTCACGCATTCATACACGCATTCATAAATACACACATACATACATACAATCATACACACATTCTTGCATATATATATATTCACATGCTTTGTGCAACAATCAATCCCATGGGTTCCACGGTTGCCACTTGACGTGACCTCCCCATCCCGGTTATCCAGGCGATGCAGACGCAGACGGACTTTGTCGCAACCAAGGCCAAGGCCACGCGCGATCTGATGCTCCAAGTGGATACGGCGGCGGCGAAGCACTCCAAAGCAGGTCTGGGGTTGGGGCCGCTGGGAGCAGTTGAGTTGACACTTAGATTACTTAGGCCTTGAAAATATGGAGGTTTACCAAGGAAAGTTTTTGAATAACGATTTTTTTGGCAGTCCTCATGGTTTATGGCACTGATGGTCGTTGGGGTTTACAAGGGTTTTTGGCACTGTAGATCTTTCGAACTAGTATATATCTAATGCTTATTATTGCAGGTATCGTTCATGATAAATATTAGATGTTGTGAGTATATCTATTCGAATAAATATAATATGATATATATATAATATGATATATAATATGAATCCTCCTGCCAATTTCCACTACTAAATGCTATGACCTAGGTCCCGGAAAGTGAACCAAAAATTTAGTGTGAAATTTCCAGAAACCATTTAGTAGAGAATCATGATTTTTCAAAAAAAATCAAGTAAACATCTCTAGACCCATGATCCACATTTAGTAGTGAGGTAAAAATGATATGTTAATCATATGATGTCAAATGTTGTTTTTTGGGTAAAACCATTTAGTAGAGATGTCAAAAAAATGTTGCAAAATCACAGGAACCATTTAGTAGAGGTTGCGAAGTAGAGTTTATAAAACGGTCACAATGACACGAGACAAAACTGAAAAACCATTTAGTAGAGATTCCCATTCCGTTGCCCCCGATAGTCGTTTGGCCAATCCATGTCCATCAGGATGAATCACGTAAATCCAGATAGTATATGATAATAGATGCTCAAAAAATAATAAGAAGCTTGAAAAATAAATATAAATTCTAGAATGCCAATGAATATCAAAGATATTCCTGGGTTGAAGTAAATCAACATGATCGGGTATACCGCGATATGAAACAACAGAAGTTGGACAAAGATAGCATCCTTGCGGTATCCTGCCATGCCGCCTCCAGTCAGTCTAGCCAAGTGCTGCCTCTACTAAATGGATGGTCATGGGATCAGTCTATCTAGAACTGTTTCAAACAAAGCCCTGTTGCATCCTTGTGTGCCCTATAATCCCTTACGCGCTATGCAACACCATTTTGTAGTCCCAAAATGTCCAAATTCTATCAAGATTTCCCCTGTCTAGCCAAGTGCTGCCTTGCCTTTTTTGGGGGCGATGCCAAATCCCTCGCTTGGGTGTTTCTTGCTCGTCGGGTGCTGCCTTTCGTGTTTGTTTTTTTTTGCGTTTTTTGGGGGGCGATGCCAAATCCCTCGCTTGGGTGTTTCTTGCTCGTCGGGTGCTGCCTTTCGTGCTTGGGTTCTTTTGTTGCCTTTTTTGGGGGGCGATGCCAAATCCCTCGCTTGGGTGTTTCTTGCTCGTCGGGTGCTGCCTTTCGTGTTGGGGTTCTTTTTTGGCCTTTTTTGTGGGCGATGCCAAATCCCTCGCTTGGGTGTTTCTTGCTCGTCGGGTGCTTACTAAATGGATGGCCATGGGATCAGTCTATCTAGAACTGTTTGAAACGAAGCCCTGTTGCATCCTTGTGTGCCCTATTTATTATCCCTTACGTGCTATGGAACACCATTTTGTAGCCCCAAAATGTCCAAATTCTATCAAGATTTCCCCTGTCTAGCCAAGTGCTGCCTTGCCTTTTTTGGGGGCGATGCCAAATCCCTCGCTTGGGTGTTTCTTGCTCGTCGGATGCTGCCTTTCGTGCTTGGGTTCTTTTGTTGCCTTTTTTGGGGGCGATGCCAAATCCCTCGCTTGGGTGTTTCTTGCTCGTCGGGTGCTGCCTTTCGTGTTTTTTTTTGCCTTTTTTGGGGGCGATGCCAAATCCCTCGCTTGGTTGTTTCTTGCTCGTCGGGTGCTTACTAAATGGATGGTCATGGGATCAGTCTATCTAGAACTGTTTGAAACAAAGCCCTGTTGCATCCTTGTGTGCCCTATTAACCCTTACGTGCTATGGAACACCATTTTGTAGTCCCAAAATGTCCAAAATCTGTCAAGATTTCCCCTGTCTAGCCAAGTGCTGCCTTGCCTTTTTTGGGGGCGATGCCAAATCCCTCGCTTGGGTGTTTCTTGCTCGTCGGGTGCTGCCTTTCGTGTTTGTTTTTTTTTGCGTTTTTTGGGGGGCGATGCCAAATCCCTCGCTTGGGTGTTTCTTGCTCGTCGGGTGCTGCCTTTCGTGCTTGGGTTCTTTTGTTGCCTTTTTTGGGGGGCGATGCCAAATCCCTCGCTTGGGTGTTTCTTGCTCGTCGGGTGCTGCCTTTCGTGCTTGGGTTCTTTTGTTACCTTTTTTGGTGGCGATGCTAAATCTAAATGGATGGTCATGGGATCAGTCATATGTGTTTCATGTTGTTTTCTCTACTAAATGGACCCCGTGCATTTCTCTACTAAATGGCTTTGGGGTTTTGGTCGAGTGATGTTGGTCCCGCAACTTGTGCTCAAATGAGCACCTCTACTAAATGGAACAGGGTGTTTGGTCGAGTCATGTTGGCGTCTTAAGACACTCTGAAAATATATCCAAATTTTGCGTTTCAGCTGAACCAGGGGCCCACATTTAGTAGTGAAATTCGATCATGCATGCACATCCATTTAGTAGAGTTTGAGGCTATGCAGGCCGTTTCTTCACTACAAAATGGTTGCGCAGCCCCAACC